TCCTCCTCCTCCTTCTCCTTCTCCTCCTCCCTCTCTTTCTCTCTTTTTTTATCTCTCTCTCTCTCTCTTTCTCTCTCTGTTTATCTGGGCCACGAAATCATCCTGGCGTGGCCATCCCCCTCGTCAGAGCCAGTCGGCCCTGGGGAGGAGGAGGAGGAGGAGGAGGAGAAGGAGGAGGAGGGGAGGAGGAGGAGGAGGAGGAGGAGGAGATGGAGGAGGAGGAGGAGGAGGAGGACCAGGAGCAGGAGGAGGAGCTGAGGAGGAGGAGGAGGAGGAGGAGGAGGAGGAGGAGGATGAGCTGAGGAGGAGGAGCGACCGAGCGTCCCAAGTGCGGATCCCTCCCGAAGGGCACCTCTGCGGCGCGGTGGCGGCTGCGGCTCGCGCGGCGGCGCGGGCGGGGCACCCCAGGGGGCACACCGATGGACGGCGGCGAGGCGGTCGAAGTCGGAAGGGGCGGCGACGGGCACGGGCTCCGCGGGGGAGATGGGCACGTCCACCGGGAGCGGCTCCAAGAGGAAGTCGGCGCCCCCTTGGCAGATGTCAGGGAAGACGGCGCGGGCGAGCCGAGATCGTAGCCGTTCTGCTCCTCCGCCATCTCCTGCGTTGGCACCAGCTCCAGGTCGTCGCCAAAGTCATCAGGTCTACTGCCTGATCCATGGAGGCGCGGGGCAGGAGCTCTACAGGAGGGCCGCAGGTGCACGGCGTAGTCGCGCCACTAGCGAGAGGCGGATGCGCCAGCCAGTCGAGGACATCATCGCCTCTGGCGCCGCCCCTGGCGCGCTCCGCGCGCCGGGGACCCAGCGCCGATTCGAGAAATCCGCGCGAACCTCCGAGTCTCTATGTTTATGTCGTTCGTCGTTCCCCAAATTGTCCCCCCCCCCATGGGTAGATGGTGGCCGCGGCGTAGGAGTGGAGGCGGTGACCATCTCCCCCCCCAAGCGCTGAAAAGCGTGCCGCGACAGCGTGGGCGGTGAACTGTGTGTTGGGATCATCGGTGCCACCTCGGCCAAGGTCAAGAGAGATGCGCCGAATGGTGATCGCTTTATTATTCAGCGTTTCGACATTGGGAGAAAGGGGGGGGAGGGGTTGGGTCTGGCTCCGGACCTCTGCTTAGTGCGACTGCTTGCAGCAGTGCGTCCATCATGGGGGAGGCGCCAAAAACAGCCAAGGTCTACTCCAGGGGGGGGGGAGGGGGAGGTGCGAGGGCCCGCGCCGATCGGCAAAACAACGAATGTGCAAACGCGATGACGGACACTGGTGGCTACAAACGGGGCAACGAAGCGAGCGAGAGTTGCGGTGGGAAAAAACTGAGATAGCTGTGCCTCGTGTGCCTGCGGCTCGTCTAGCCTCCGCCTTCCATGCCAACGCCAGGGGGCCGTGGGCGACCGTTGTCCGCCCCCCTCCCCGAAATGACCATGCCCCCGTCCCACATGTAGGTGGTGGCTGGAGCACAAGGAGTGGAGGCGGAAACGGAAAGGCTGCAAAAGAACGGTGGGAATGCTGCAGCAGCGCTGGCGATGCCCTGTGTCGGGCACTTGTGCAAGCGAGAGTTGCGGTGGGAGGAGCGGCGACAGCTGTGCCCGGTGTCTGCGATTCTGCTTGCCTCCTTCTCTCAAGCCGACGCCAGAGGGCCGTAGGCGATTGTTGCCCATTTTCCCCACCTGGTGTATCCTGGGAGGTCTCCAGGGGCCCCCTAGGGGTCCTCGAACGACCCTGCTCACCATGTTGTGATCGTAAGCATATTTCACAGTGGCAGTTGCGATCACAGGCTCGGCGATATTCGCAAGGCCCCTTGTGCCCATATGCACAGGGGTAATTCTATATATTATATGTATTGCGGTGCGAAGACCAACTTCGCAGAGTGACACTGCACACTCGCACGGTACCCTTATGCAGGGAGCCCTGGGCAAACTCGGAAAATGCACACCACACCCGAGAATATCAAGCAACACTCTTGTGGTGGCAGTGCCCTCGGACGCCGCCAGCGATGCATAGAAATGTTGAGCATTTTTGGTGGGAGAGTGACATCGCGCGTTTCCTGTTGCGCTTGCGCTGGCGGTTACAAAACGGATTCCATCTCGGGAGGCAGGGCGCGGCAAACAAAAATGAGCACAGCGCGACCCAAATTAGGGGAACACTTCCTGTTGCATGGGCGCATTGTGTGGCACTGCGCGGCATTGCTTGGCAGCTTGCTTGTAATAATGTTTGGCATTGTTTGCCCTCGCTTTGCTAGGCGTTGCTTGGCATTGCGTGTCGCTGCGTGGCATTATTTTGCGTTGCTTGGCATGGGTTGGCATTGCTTGGCATGTGTGGCGATGCAACAAAGAACCAAGGAACCAAGGAACCCTGGAACCAAGACCAATGAACCAAGATACCAAGATCAAGACGCGGAGGAACCAAAACCAAATAACCAAAAAACAATCCCCCAACAAAACCAAACCAGGGAACCAAACGAATCCGGGCAACGCCTTGTAAGAAAACAAAACTCAATAACCTCAAAGCCCCCCTTGCACGGAAACAAAACCGAAAGACCTCCAGGAACCTCGGCGCGACCGGGTCCGACACCCAACTGTTTCTGCATAAACGAATCAATCCCCTAAGGCAGACCCGAATGGGGAAATAACACTTGCGTGCAGGTGATTCCTTGCTGTTGCAGAATCTTAGGTACGGTGGCGGTGGCTATGCGTACAAGACATTCTGTATCTTAGCGCCCTCACGCCAAAAGGTCCCGCGAGGCGACGTCGATATGTAGCCCGCCTCATCTCGGAGATGCAGCACTGTGGCGTCGCCAGCGTCGTAGCAGCAGCTCCGATTGCATCGGGGGCGCCCTCCAAGCGGCAGGAGGCGTAGGGTGCGTGGGCGACGGCCGCGTGGGCGACGGATGACAAGATACTTTGGCATATCCCCACTTTGGCGGGCCATGGCCTCCAGTTCTCCAGCGAGGCCCCGAAGCGGGCCCTCGAGGCACGTCTGCATTGGTCATGCGCTGCGATCGGTCCACTATGCAACACAAGCGCAGCCCTGATCAAGAGGGAATGGAACTCCTGGCGGTCCCGCGGCAGTGGAGTGACAACCAGAATCACGGAAGTTGGCTGCTGATGCTGTCGTGTTTCTGCGGCGAGCCCGGGGGGAAATGAGGAGGGGCGGGCCTTCTCAGAAGGCTCGGCAGTCCGCCGGCCTTCTGAAGCCTTCCCCCGAAGACACCAACAGCTTCTCGAAGGGCAGAGACATGGGGGCTCCTGAGAAGCCCCGCCGCCTGCTGAAAAAGCCCTCTCCTTCTCCCTTCCCCTCGCTGGCCGCCGTTCCAATCCCGTCCTGCCCCGTGCACCGTCTCGGCTCGAGCCGCGGCCCCAGGGCTGAGGAGCGGCATCAGGGGCTCGAGCCGCGGCACCATCGTCTCGCCGCCGGATGCTCCGCCTGCGAGCGCCGACGCCGTCCGTGCCTCGATGCGCACCACTCGATGCCGAAAGCCCAGGACGACGAGGCAGAGCGGCCGGCCACCAATGGCACCAGCTCCCTGGCGAGCGCGGCCGCGCATGCCTCGGCGGCTCCGCGCCCCAGGGCCGTCCAGAGGTGGTGCGCTGTGGCGCGGGGCAGGGAGCACGGGCCCCGGCGCTGCCAGCCGAGTCCCGCGCGGGCGAGGAAGATGAGCCTCGCCCGCGCGAGGCGCGAACCCTCCCCAGCAGGAGCCCGAGCCCGCGGGGAGAGCGGACGAGCGAGGTCCTCCTCCTCGGCTTCTGCCTCCATCATCCCTGTGCTCTGGGTTCCGTCCGCCGCGACGCCCGAGCGCGCCCGAGCGCGAGCGCGCGAAGCGCTGCGCCCAACGGGGGCCCCGCCCCTCCCGCAGCACCCGCACCCCCAGGAGTCGCACACACACGGCTGGACCCACGCGCGGAGCATGCGGAGGCCGAGCGCCACGAGGACTGCGCACGCGGAGGGCCCGTCTGTGTCCAGCGATGACGAGCCGGCACGCGTGCGGCCACGCGCGTGTCTGGCTCCCGCACAGGCCCGCCCCGTCGCGCCGACCCGGCAGCATGTGGAGTTGCGCAACAAAGCGCGCCGTCGTGAGCCATCACGACCAAAGCTCTGGACCCCGTCTTTCGAAACACTGTCGGGCCAGATCCGTGAGAGTCCCAGGGCCCGAGGCGGAGCGAAGAGTCTTGCTGCTCAGCGCCACGCTCGATCGAATCCATGCAAGCACTTGGCGCTTTCCTGCCACTCATCGTCATCGTCATCGTCATCGTCGGCTGCCCCATCTCTCGCGGCGGTGACGCCTTCCTGCCGCTTTGCTGTTCGCTGGCGGAACATCCATTACTGGGTGCTCATCTCGGTCGTGTTGCCCGTATTTTTTTTTCACGGCTCCCGGGTGCCAGGGACGACCGTGGGCGCTCGCACCCCGCTGGAACTACTCCTCGAATAGCGCCAGGGCGCGCCCATGACCCAGGCGCCGACGCCGACACCGACGCCAGCGACGCCGACGCCGACGTCGCCGCCGCGGCTGACGAAAGCGACGCCGCCAACGACCTCGCGGAGCGCAGGTGTGGAAACCCTATCTAAAAGGGGCCCATGGACGGACGTGGCGACATCAAGATCGCAAAGCGACCGAACCGACAGCGATTCCGAGACCGACCGAAACAGACTAATCGAAAGCAGCCAGGGATTGACGCAGCGGCGCGGCAGCCGCCCGAATCGAACCGACCCAAACTGGCCGACTGCGAAAGAACCTCCGAACTGACCGAACCGCCGAAACCCTCCTGCAGACCCCTCCCAGCACCGTCCTCTCTGCCTCCCCCCGTCCCGCAAGACGGAACAACACACCCCAGCAAAGGCAAATTGTCGAACACATGGACGGCATGCCCGGCCCGTGCTTTCAGCGCGCCGCTTTTGACACACACGAGTTCGGCTCCTGATCTCCCGAGCCGCGCCCAGCCGCGGCGGCGAGCAGGGCCCCCCCCCCCCGACCGCCCAAACCCGACGCGGCGAGGGCCCGCCCGGCGCGCGTCGGCCTCGAAGAGCGCCAGGGCGAGCGCGGACTCGCCCGCCTCGTGCCTGCTCCTGTACAGCAGGGTCCGGCTGCCGGCGCCCAGCACGTCCCTGCCTCGGCCCCACGCGCCGGTCACCGCGCCGCCCGTGCTGGCCCACATGGTATGCACCACCACCACCACCTCCATTCTCCCTCTCTCTCTCTCTCTCTCTCGAGGAGGAGGAGGAGGAGGAGGAGGAGGAGGAGGAGGAGGAGGAGGAGGAGGAGGAGGAGGAGGAGGAGGAGGAGGAGGAGGAGGAGGAGGAGGAGGGGGCAGGAGGAGGAGGAGGAGGAGGAGGAGGAGGAGGAGGAGGAGGAGGAGGGGGAGGAGGAGGGGGCAGGAGGAGGAGGAGGAGGAGGAGGAGGAGGAGGAGGAGGAGGAGGAGGAGGAGGAGGAGGAGGAGGAGGAGGAGGAGGAGGAGGAGGAGGAGGAGGAGGAGGAGGAGGAGGAGGAGGAGGAGGGAGGAGGAGGAGGAGGAGGAGGAGAGGAGGAGGAGGAGGAGGAGGAGGAGGAGGAGGAGGAGGAGGAGGAGGAGAGGAGGAGGGGGGGCAGGAGGAGGAGGCCACCCTCCTCTTCCTCGGCTCTTTCCTGGGCGAGGGAGGGGATGAGGGAGGGGGCGGTGGTGCACACCTTCGGGCCCCGCAGCGGGCACCGCGCCGCCGCGCGGGGAGGGGGGGGGCGGAGGCGGTCGACCTGCTGGAGGGAGAAGAGGGGGTCGGTTGATGGACAAGAGCCTGCACTTCTCTTGTCGATTGCTGTCTTCGCCTCCACGCGCCCCCAATCTGCTATTGTCGGCTACACGCAAGAGTGACTCTGGGTAAGAGTGACCTTTGGTGCGCGGCTTTTGGGTGGCCGCGGGGAGACCAAACCTGGGCGCGCAAGCCGCTGCTACTGTTTCGTTTTCAGCCATTTGGGGACCCATCTGTGCCCGCACCAAAGATCACTCCGGCGAAAGGTCACTCTTACGTCTAGTCGATATTGGCAGGCTGTGGCGCGATTCGTCGATCTGCCGACTGGTCTAAATCCTGCACCCCGCGGGCGTCGCCAATCAACATTGAATCGGGGGCTGGGGGGAAGAGGCGGTCGACCTTCTGGAGGGAGGGGGGGGAACGCATGCTACGCAAGGTTGGGTATTGAGTGGCGAATTGGATCCGTGAGTGGATCAGCCTGGAACGTCGATGAACAGAAACTTTGATGTTTTTTTTGGTTGTGGGCCCGCATTGATGCCGGTCCATGCCCACCCCGTCCCGTCGCCCGGGCACTCTCTCCGCCTCCTTCGACGAGGCTCGTTTTGGCGGGCGCGCATCGGTGTCAACTGGCCTTTGGATATGACAGGAACGTGAGAGCAGGAGCACTTCAAGATCCCAGCTGCGTGACAAGGAATCGCACGTGTTTCCACATATTGGTGGTGGTAGTCATCTACTGCGGTCGGGCACTCTCGACAGGCCTCATCCCCCTCCGTCCATCGGTCCTTCTCCTCATCATCGTCCTGATCCCCCCCCTTCCCCCCTCCTCCTCTGTGGTCGCGTAGCCGAGGCCCCCGCCCTCAGGCAGAAACTTTAGGGACTTCGGGTTCGGCGTTGTCTCCACCTGGCGCCCGCGGCGAGCAGGGGAAGGTGGGTATGGGGAGGGGTGGAGGCGAGGCCCCTCTCCGTCGTCGTCCTCCTCCTCCTCCTCCTCTTCCTCCTTCTCCTCCTCCTCCTCCTCCTCCTTTTCTCCCCTCCCTCTCTTCTCGTCTCACCGTCTTTTTCTTCCTCCTCCTCGCGTCATCCTGTCCCTCCCCCGTCCTTCTCACTGATCCTTTTTCCTCATTCCCCGTCCCCTTCCTCGTCCCTCCTCGTGCCCCCTCCACTCGTTGTCCTTACAAATCCGCCGACCCTGTCGGCGTGTGTGAGGGGCTTTTCCGTTCGAGCCGTCATCTCCGTTATTCTTTGTACTCGTCGTCTCTGTCCGTCCCTTTCCCTGGGACTCCTCTTCCCCTGGGCTCCAGCCAAGCCGACCTTGAGCAACGTCGTAATTCAGTCGAAGGGAAGCCCCTTCCCTTTGATCCCTCCCCCGCCGGGAGGGGGGGGGGGGGGGGGTAGCGACCCCCCCCCCCGGGTCAGATACGACGCCCCCCCCCCGTACCGACCTTGAGCAACGTCGTAATTCAGTCGAAGGGAAGCCCCTTCCCTTTGATCCCTCCCCCGCCGGGAGGGGGGGGGGGTAGCGGGGGGGGGTAGCGACCCCCCCCCCGGGTCAGATACGACGCCCCCCCCCGTACCGACCTTGAGCAACGTCGTAATTGAGTCGAAGGGAAGCCCCTTCCCTTTCCCTTCCCCGACGGGGGGGGGAGGGGGGGTCCCGGGGGGGGTCCCAGGGGAGTCCCGGGGAAGTCCCGGGTCAGATACGACACCTCCCTCCCCCACCTTCTCGTCCTTCTCCCCGTTCCCCAAAACCATCCCACAGCCCGTGCCTCTTGCTGCGCATTGCGAACAGGGTCGGCGGCACCGGCCGTAAGGCCTTCGCAATAATTCCTCCGTGCCGCACCACCACACCACCAAGACGTGTCTGTAGGCAGGCCCGGGGGAAACTTAAACTTTTCCAACAATTCTGGTAGATGTTGCACGGATGGAGGCCATTTGGTTTCAAACTGTGGCTCTCGGCTGAGACTTCCTAAAAACATAACACAATGTATGTAACGCATGTGCAACAAGTGCACGGATGAAGGGCAGTTGGCTTTCATCATGGGGCTCTCGTTTGAGACTTCCTCACACTTGCGACCATACGCCTGACCAGGTGCAGCACCTGCACGGATGGAAGGCGGCTCCTCTTCCACACGAGGCTCTCGCAGAAGACTACTCCGAACTTCTTGATAATCAGCCGGGGGGTGACAAACGTGGAAACGCGGCGCGGCCAACCCCGCCAGCCGCCCCCGCGCCCCAGCGGGGAAGGGAACGAACCCCAGACACCCTCCTGGTACCCCCGCGGACGCGCCGCGGCCAACCCCCCCCGAGCACTCCAGGGGGGGGGCGATTATTAAGCGATCCAGAGTATTTAGTGGCAATCTATGTAGACGTGTGCATCCATTTCACGGATGGGTGTCGGCTCCTTTTCATCGCTGGACACCTCGGAGAGCTTTATGATCCTGCCTTGTCGCATTCGTCACAACGCGCTAGAAGGATGCAAGGCGAAGAGGAGGAGATACTTGTCGACTTGTCGCCGGAATGGCAGGCCCGGTGGGTGCTGGTCTTTCAAGGGGGCACTCCTTGCAGTGACAAGGAAAGCTTGTAGGACTTATGCGCAGGGGAACTGGGGCTGGGATGCTGTGTTGCAGCATCGTTGGTGCAACTTGGGATTACTCTGGTCCTCCTCCTCCCCTTCCTGTCCCTCGTCCGTCCTCGTCTCTCCTCCTCCTCTCCCCTCCGTCGCTCGCTACTTCAGCGCTGGGGCTCGGAGCCAGCACTTTAGAGAAGATGCGGAACAGAGAGGGGTGCAGGACAGAGTCCTCGCCCCTGCCCAACTCGCACACGTGGAACATGCAGGTGGGGGAGAGGAGAGGAAGGATTGCAGTGGGCGTCGCTGCGAACACTGTGGCATGTCATGTGCAAAAAGGCAAGGGCCAAGGTGACGAACCAACAACACACACACACCCATACCCATATGAGGGTCGGAGGGAGGAAGACTGGCTATGGATATGGCTGCGGATTGTCGGACCCTGGGGGCGGCTCCCATTCGAGAGTGGACCCCCATCCGACAACACGCACCCACAACCCCCTCCGTCCCCCAATGGGTATGGGTATGTATGTGTGTGTGTGTCTGTGTGCTGCGCGTCCGTCACAAGGGGGGTGAACAAACCACCAAAGGTCGGGAGGGATGTCAAGCAAAAACTCCGTGCTCTCAACGTGCGCGGGGAACTGCCCGGCCCGAACCTCTGAGACCACCGCTCCCCCCAGCAGGGGGGGGCAAATGTCTGAAGGGGGCGCTGCTAGCAGCAGTGGCATGCCCTCTCCTCGTGACACCCGCGAAGAACGCGATGCCTGCAGCTTCGGTCCCAAGGTCCTTTGTTGGAGGAGGCGAAAAAAGGTAAGATACCACAAGGTAGGGTCGATAATCAGCTCATGTAGCTGGTTTTCCTGGCGCCGGGAGGCGCCCATGTATCGAGGGATGGGCCTGGCGGCGGGGCGGAAACCAGCTGCATGCATCAGATTTCGTAAACCCTTGTGAAGATGCAACGCCTATACGGTGCGACGTATGCTGTTGATGATTTTCCTGCCATGCCTGACGCCCAAGGCCCTGCGAACCACCATGTAATACGGATGAGCATGAATGATGCATTGGGCAAACATGCACTCTCGCATTCACACTCTTTCTAAACTAAGGTTGACCTTTGGCGATCACGAGGCCGACAACACATATCTGTGGCGCAAACGGCCGCTAGCACGCACAGGGCACACGCGCGTGCAAACACGTATTTGACAAACATACCACATACAATTAACGTGACGAGAAACAGGCGTACGTATACTTTACCAGGTGTAGTGAAGCATGTAGGGAACCACGATGCGGATATCAGAATCTCCCCAAGCTGAGCAAGCGAAGCAAGCACCATAAACGGCGCACCAGGTGTGGGTGTGCGAAAACCCTCGTATAATATCATAGGAAACGCTCACCACCAGATCCATTCCCCCCAACTCGTGAGCACTAAGGCCGTTGTCGTCATGATCCTTCGGAGGCGTATCCAAATGAGACGTCACCCTGCCGTCTCCTCGTACAGCTCATCATCCAAAAGCTCGCGATATCCAATCAAATCGAAAACCAAACCTCTCTCTGAAGGTAGCTTGACAGCTCCATCACGATGTGCAATGTCATGGTGGAACACAATCGGTAACGCATCTGATGGGGCATGAACTCGGGTCGAGGCGGTCCAAAGGTTAGGATCCATAAAGCTCAAGATAGGTGCTCTCGTAACTATGGAGGCTCCGAAGGCGTCCACAGAAGTCGTGGCCAAGGCGGCGACGCGGCTGCGACAAGTCCTTCAGATGGCAGCGGATATCAAGTCCACTGGAGCTGCTTTCCCTTCGCTGTCGTCCAGGATTCTCTTGTCGACCACGTAAACAAATCCTGCTTTGCTTCTTGCCTTGAGCCGCCTGGGGGCGTCCGAAGCAAACCATGACATTGCCGGGCGGGCGCGCCGCCGCGCGATGCCAGCCGCATCGTCGTGCTCGTCCACGTTGGCCCACGAAGCGCTGTGAAGCACTAGAACGCACAAGTCTCCCAACATGCTCGGTATGGTGATGTTTGTGTCGCTATGCCAGCGAAGTTCGGACGCGATGCGGTTTGTCTCGATGTAGGAAACGACGGGGGAATTCTGCGTTCTGTGCGCCTTAGACATTCCAACTGATAAGTCGGGGCGTGCGTGCGTTGATAGCCAACCAATGCTGCCAATCAGACCCCGCCTCTCGGCGATCTCCGCGACTGTAGCTGGTCATCCGAAATCGCGCTTGCGATCTTTGGGTGTCTCCAGAAGCTCCAACTTCTCTGCGAAAACTCACTGGTACAACTGAATTGAACCGTCGAACTTGAGTGTGGCGTCCTCAGCGCAGAAGCTTAAACAACAATCCTTACCAACCTCCAGAGGGGAACGTCTCCGTGATGAGATTGTATATCTCCTCAATGCTGCCTGCGACTAGTAGGTCGTCAATATGCGCGCGCGACTGCCTGCAATGATCCATCAGTGCCGCGGCCAACGAGCAATGCTGGATCTACCAAACTCTGCTTCACATGGAGTTACTGCCAGCAATAGTGCCGTCTTGAGCGCAGCCCACCATTGTCTGGGAGCTGCTGCCAGGCCGAAACTTCCTGTCACCGCTCGAAGTACCTGGCCAAGTCGTAGTCCAGGGTAGCCATGCGGCGGTCGCCTCATGAACAGTTCCTGCTCGCGAGTTTGTTCTTCTCATCGCATTGCCGCTGACATGCTGTCAGCACAGTTTGGGTCCCAACGTGCGCTTCTGAGTGCTCCAAGTCTGGAGATCAGGGCGTTGATCCCCTCCGGCACGCAGTCTTGCTTTCGCTTTGCTGGGTACTGGGTTAGCTTCGGTACGACTGCGGACGTTATTGTCGTACTTCTGCCGTGCTTGCTCGGGCTCCGCGAGAGGTGGGATCTCCGCCAATCCGAATATCTTCCACGCCTCCCAATGCTCCTCGATAGCTTTCAGCAAGAGAGGCATCTGGTCCGCCGGGATGTCCTTTCCAAGCAATCTCTTTGTCGTGCAGCTTCTTGCGTAGCCACTCGTTTTGAGCTCTGGCGCCACTGAGTATCGCTGCGAAGGTTGTTGGTGCTGCTCCCCTGACAGCGGGGTTATCCATCATGCAGTAGAGGCCGCGAGAATGCGGACCGTCTCGTTCTCGCATTTGAGCTCCAGCTGTCCTCCCAGACCCCTTGCGTTGTGGCGCGTCGTCGAGCGGCATGTATGCGGCCCTCCTGCAATGGGGCTCCTCTGTGCCTCGGCCTGAGTTGTGTGGTTCGGGCGCAGGTGGGGCAATTCCTTGAGCTTGAGCGTCTTCTCCAAGTCGGGTGTTAGGTGCTGCTGCTGTTGCCGCTGGGAGCTCAACTTCAGAGTGGGGGAGCTCGACATCTTCAGCTCGAGCCTGAGGTGGTTCCTCTACCTCCTCGGGCCGTCCTGGCAACACCTCTGCCTCTTCTTGATATCCAGGTGGGGGCTTCCCTCGAAGGTCCTCGAACTCCATCTCGGCATCTGGGTTGACGCTGTCTTCAACTCGTCGGAGCTGGTTGATTGTTTCCCCGTGTTGGTCATCAGTGCCGGGCCACCATGTCTCCTTGTTTGAGATCGGCCGAACGTGTTTAAACGCCACGAGTATAGTGAAACCGCTTTGCGACATCCAGCAGTCCCGGCCCTGCCCCCCCACGATGACAGCTGGCTCCAGCCAGGTGCCAATTTGGATGAAGCTCCTCTTGAACTGCCGGTAGTCAATGTACATGCCGCCCTGCTCGAGCGGGCGAGGCGCGACTCTCGTGCGTCCCACCAGTGCTTTCCGAAGGGTAGTGTCGTTATGCATCTCCACGAACGCCTTGGGGATTGTCGTCCTCGTCTTCAGCTGTCGCTCCGTCGGCGGTAGTTCAGCTCCCTCGCGCGCGGCGTCATCGTGCGCCCCATCGGGCAGGCTTGCTGGCAGGCGCTGGCTTCTTCCGAACATCTAATGTTCTGGACTGAGCCCGCATTGGAGTCGCAGAACGTTCTTGGCTCCCGTGACAGCGGAGGCCATGATGTGCGTGTCGGTCGCTCCTGAGGCTGCCATGTGCGCGATGATGCGCTCGGCTAACTCCATCCACCGGCATCCTTGCCGTTCGGCCCGCCCATGTTGCCGCGCTTCCAGTCCAGCCACTGGTGCCACCGAGCAATTGACGTGGTCCAGCATCTCCTGAAACTTGATCCGGAACTTCGTTCCAGGTCCACCGCGACGCTGCCTGGTGGTCATTCCTAGCTCGTCCAGATCTGGGTAGACACGCTGATCAGAGTCTGCGAATGGTGACTTCCAATCATTCCCGCAGCATGAGCGGGTGCGCCCAGATCCACCAATGATAAGAAAGCTCAGGGCTTGCCATCGACGTCCTTGACAGTGAAACAGTCCATCCCGATCTGCTCATTGCGCTCGGCTGTGCGTGAAAGACGAGCAGGTCCTGGGAATTTCCTTGCGGACTTTCTTGAGATGCGAAGCGCACCTAAGTGACTCGACGATTTTCACCACCTCGGGTCGGCACCCCGAGAATCGTAGGGATCTGGCCAAGTATTCGTTGTTCGGGTGCCCTAGATTATGATGCAGCTGTCGTGGTGCTGCAAATTCACGATTCAAGCATCCGGCGCTTCCAGGCCCAAATTGAATGGCCTTAACCCCGAGGTCCTGCGGTGCTGGCTCGGGTTTGTGCCACGTGCGTGCTCGACGCTTGGCTGGGCGACCGAGCTTCGTTCTCAGATGGTTCAAAGAGATGTCCGATTTCCCGAAGTCCTGGGGCACCATGTCGGCATCGTGATCAACGATGCGTCGTCGCCCTCGATCCCAAATCGGCCCGCTTGGCAACTGCGTGGGCAACTCCGTGTAGTCGCCGCCCGTCTCGACGTAGGACCAATCGTCCGATTCACCGCCCACTGGCTCCGTCAGATCCGCAATGGCGAATACTCCGTGCTCCGTAAGGTAGGTCTCGTGGGATCGCTGGAGCGCGGCGAACGCTGCCAGGCAGAATTCAGGGGTGTGGCGCCCAGCCAGTCGCCAGTGGCGGGATCCCTCCAGATGGTCATGTCGATGCTGCTTGTCGCGTTGTTTGGCGAGTTTCCTGGCGTGCGAATCCTGATGCGAGGAGCTTGGTTTTCTCGATCAAACCGTGGCTCCTCGGATGTCGTAGATTGCGCGTGCCCACTCGCGCCTCCGTATCTTTAGGAATGGCCCGTCACCTCTTGCAACTGAGGCTGTCGAAGCGCCTCCGAACTCCATGGGTTCTCCACTGGGGTGTCGCGCTTCTCGGTTAACTGTGCCAAACTCATACTCTCCGCCGAATTCAACGAGGGCTTCTCCTTCAGTCGCTTCCGTCTAGGCTCTTGCTGACTGTGCTCTCCTTGTAATGCAGCCGCGTTTTCGTCATCGCTCGGGCGGCTATTTCCGGCGCATTTTTGGACTTCGCGCGTGTACTTCTTTCGCAAGATGGTCCGAGATGCTCCTCGATGGTCCTCGCCGAGAACAGATGCACGCGTCCGGGCGATGCCCAGCGTTAGTCTAGACCACGACGCGCATGAAAAACTCCAGCGTGATGAGTTGCGGTCGACGCAAAGTTAAGAATCTATGTCGGCCTTCGTGTCTATCCTCAGGGATGCGCAGGTCGTACTTGCAAGCTTGATTCATGGCTCGCGCACTTTCAGTCAGGCTCGGGCGAGAGCTTCCGCCGGCGCGGCGGCCTCAGCGAAGGTCAGCATGAGGTCGCAGCGGTCGTCGTGCTCGATCTTGGACACGTCGTAGAGGTCCTGCGCGGTGGTCTTGCCTGCGCTAAGCAGGGGCTTGACGAGGGAAGTCTCTGGGGACGTCGTTTGCCATATCGGGAAATATCGCCTTCCCGATCAAGTCCTCGAGGCGCTGGGCCTGCCCCGGCTTCATCTCGCTCTTCCTCGCCCGCGGCTCCTTCCGCGTGGCGTGGTCATCTCCCGAGCCTGACGTCTTCGATTGCAAACTCCTCCGGGCGGATGTCTTCTGCTTCCTCCGTCGGGGTCTTTATCAGCGGCGCGAACTCCTGGCGCTCGTAGTCCTGCGAGCGAACGTAGTCCCGCGAAGCAGCCCTCGAGGCCGAACGTAGCTGATGGACCTCCTCGTCTTTCGGCTCCTGAATCGCCGTCGGTGGCTGGCCCTGAAGCAACAACAAGCGACCTTGTCCTCGAACGTGTCTGGAGATCGCAATGTCGCGCTTCTGTGATCAGCTCCTCGCGCTTTATCTTGGCGATGCCACGAAGCTCTGGATCCATCTGCTTGTTTCCCCTGCGCCTCTGGCCGTTCTCGATGGGCTTCTCCCGGGGAATCGCTCGCATCTCTCGGCTCCGCATTCTCAGGTATTCCAGCCGCTGCTTTCCACCTCATCCTGGAGCCCCAACTTGACCAGTTCCCAGCGAAATCGCGCGGCCTGTGGCTCCCGTCCCAGACGCTCCTCCGCATTTCTCGCCAATGTGCCTTCTGTGAACTGATGGAGCTCGAGCAACCTCTTCACTTGGCAAGGGCTGCTGTGTTGAACTGGCGGTCGTCTAGGCTGTCCCATTGACGGATAGGGTTCCAGTGGAGGGGCGAGAGGCATCCCGCCTCCAACATGCAGAATCTGTCGGATTGGCTTTTGCCGACGCACGATGCAGATGCTTCCCGTGTTGATCGAAATTGTGGTTCATGTCTGCTTGTTGCCTCTTCTTGATGCCATCGATCATGGATGGCCTGGTTGTCGTTTGCTTCGAGGCCGACGCTCAGCTACTTGAGATGATGCTCAATTCGGCTCGGCTGCTAAGCCAAGTCGCTCGACTAATGATGGATCGTGGTCGGGGAATTGTTCGGGTCGCTCACCCAGTAGTCGCTCGTGATCGCCTGCTTGTTTGACGCTGACTGCGTGGAGCGACGACTGATGATGGGCTCGGTTTTGCCCCGGCAAATCTGATCGGCATCCCTGTGGCGGCGGCGGCGGCAAACTGATCTCTGTCTGGCTGGGGCATGCGTCTTGGGCCGCGGTGGAAAGGCGGGCGCGGTCGAACTCCAGGCAATCGGAGCTCGGGCGCCCGCCCGTGGCCTGGCCCAGCGACGCCTCTGGCGGGCCGAGCGCGAGAAACGACGTGCTGCTCTCGCCCGGCGCGTCGCTATGACGGTGCACAGCGCCCAGCTGTCCCGGCGCCTCCTGCGACGTGAGTCCTGGCACCAGGCATGGCGCGATCGCGATCCTTGGCGTGGAGTGCCTCCCCTTGACCGAGTGGTATAGGAGCGGCGATAATGCTGCGGACGGGCGCGCCGTCTCCGAAACGATGCGTTTCGCATTCTTGAGACAGGATGGGCCTCGGGCCAGTCCCGGCCAAGCGGTGCTTGACGTCGCGGCGCCAGGTTGTCCACCCGCGCATTTGGCGCTGCGTGAATCGGGGAATATTTTGCCACCGAGCTGCAGCAGTAGCGCCGCCCTGGCTGCCGTGGGCGCGCTCGCGGCCATCCAGCCTGCGCGGGGTGGCTTCGCAAAGGAAGTCTGCCGCGCATTGCGCGTCTCCGTGCTGGTCCAGCTCGCGCTCGTGAAGTGCCCGGCGGCTGCCTCTGCATCGTCATCTCCGTCCTCGCTTCGATGCCTGCGGTATGAGCTGCCTCAGGAAGTTCAGGGCGCTCCCTATCATCCTCTCAGTTTCCAATGCGATGGCGTATGCAACGCAGTGGGTTCAGGTTTTGATCCTTGTGATGCGCTCAGAACCCCCCTTTGCTACGGCTAGCACCATTTCCGTCTCGCCGTTTTTCCATCGCGACCTTTTCTGCTTCCAGGTGGGCGATATCGGCGATGGAAGAATTATCGAGCCTGCTAGGCGCCCGTCTGTCTGTCTTTGGCCATGGGGATCATCTTCTCTATCTTGAACACATCGGCGTCGGCCTCCATCTCTTCCTCCATCAGCTCCTCGGGTTGGTCCTCGTCGTCTCTATCTGCATCGAGCGCGTCGTTGGTATCCTCGTGTAATTGTCCGATTGTCCGCCATGTGAGCTCCCCGCCGTCGTAGCCAGTCTGGAAGTCTGGGTGGTGGCCCTGTGTGTGTCGGTGTCCGTGTGTTGTATGTCTAACGACTTTTGGCATCTTTGACGTTCAGGAGCACTTGCGTCGAGCCCGTGCATGTTCCTGTTGGCGTGGGGCCCCCTGGCGTCTCGGACAGGGCGGCAAACCAATCCACCGCGTGGATAGCCGCGCCAGAACCTCATCTGGAGACGCAGTCTTGATCGTCTTCAATCCGGAGACCTGCGTGTCGAACCCGTGGATAGAGCTCCGCGCTCCCACTTCCGCGCCGTCGAACTTCTCAGCCGACAGAACCATCAATATCTGGGCTCCGCCTCCGTCTTCAGCGTCTACCACCAGGGTGGTTGGGTCCAGGTCCTCTGCGCGTGCCCGGGCGCCCTCTCGTTGACGTGTAGCTCAGCTGCTTGTTCGTTGGCCGGCGATCTGGCGCGTAGTCTCCGCGCCTTGGCGCGTCGCCTGTAGTCCTCCATCGTCGTCTTTTGGGGGTCGTAGCTGGGCGGCTTCGCGAATCCACCGCCTCCTTGGTCTGCGGCGGTGTCGCTTCTCCGGCCGATGCCTGCTTTCTTGGGCGGCGTCTCTCCTCGATGCTGATGTGGCGGGCGATCCCGCTGGGCTTGGCGGCCGAGCTCTTTGCGCCGTCTGCGGGTCGAACTGCTCCGATGCCCATGTCATGGTGCAAGTTCTATGCGATGCGACGCGCGCTGCCGATGCTTTTCCCGATGCGCCTTGGGCCCAAGGGCCCCGGGGGCCATCGCGCAGCGCGGGCGCGCGTGAGTGGTGCAGGGGGCGCGCGCGCACTCGCGCATTCGCGCGCCCCTTTCCATCTCCCACCTTTCGTCCGGCCCGACTGCGGCTTCGCCCCTGGCGTCTTTTGGCGCGCGCGCCCGCGCTTGCAGGGGCTCGCGACCGCCGCGGAGGTTTTGCGATGGGTGGCGCCGGCATTGATCGCGCACTGAGCTGGCCGACCAACCGCGCGCAATTACCTGCGCGCGCGGCAGGCCGTGGACAGCGCGCATTCCTGGGGAATTGCAAGATCGCGGGGCGCGGGGGCAAGTGCGAACACCGCCGCATACTCCATCGATCCTGTGACGGCGTGCGTGGGGCAGGGAGGGGCATCCGCGCGCGCCCAATGGTAGCCCGCGCCCCGTCGCGCTGTGTGGTGCGCGCCGAACTCCGCGGCTCGTGCAATGGCCGACGCGGCCGTGGC